ACAATAAAAATGATTAATCAACATCTCATAATTACAAAAAAAATGAACAAAATGAAAAATTATGATTGGTTGAATGCGGTTTGCACGGTTTGTACAAATTGAGTGGTTTGCATTTGATCGCTCCTATATATATATATATATATATATATATATATATATATATATGTAAATTGAGAAAATTAACTTAATATGATATACATAATAAATATGGATAAGTTGTATCAAATGATTGATGATGAAAAAGAAATTATAAGTAGAGAAATAACATATTATAGGTTAGAAGAATATTGTAATGTACCAAGGTATCAACCCGACCAACCCGTACGGGTTGGGTTGGGTTGCACTTTGGTTTGGGTTGGGTTAAGATTTCTCAAACCGTAAGCATTGGGTTGGGTTGTTCAAATGTCTTCAACCCGATCAACTCAACCCATAAGCACCCCTACTAGCCATGACAGGACAGAACAGGACAGGGATCTTTGTCCCATGTTTAGCATGAATTTTATGTATAACAGATAAGAACAAAGTGAAACAGGCCTGTTCCACCCCTACCCCATGAAATAGGGTAGAACAAGGTGGAACAGACTTATATTTGACCTATATAACCTCAAAATAAAACTTAATTCTCTTCTAAAACATCAAATAGGTCTATTTTTTACATTTTATTCATTCTTTAAATTTTATTTATTGTATTTTATGTTTCTTAAACTTTCATTTTGTTGTCCTCAAAATATTATTTTATACGGTTTCTATATTTTTATTAATTTATGTAATTTATTATATATTAATACTAAAAATAATGTAGAAAAGAGATAAAAAAAAATAAAAATAGAAAACTACATACACTTTTTATTTGGTGTCATTTTAATTGTTTTGACGAAAACTTCAAATGATATATTTTGTTATAAAAAAATAATTATTCTATTATAATTTAATGAATTACATAAATTAATTAAAATAAACAAGTCATCAGGGATAAATTGGTCATTTTACTTGTTATGTTCTGTTTTGTCGAGTTTTATCTTACCAAACGTTGAACAGTTGCTCTATGCTGTCTTGTCCTATCCTGTTCTGTCTTGTTCTGTCATGTCTTATCTAAACACCAAACACACCCGAATTAAACTAGCATCAAAAAAGAAATATATTATCTAGTAATATATATCGAAATGTGTAAAACATGAACTGAATAATCTAAAACTGTTTAACCAGTATTTGATTCGATTTAGATGCATTATTAAGTTTTGGTCACAATAATTGATGTTGCATTGCATACTACACCTACTCCTAGACCCCACAGGACCCACTCTACATGATTGCTTTTTTAGCCTCTAAAATATGATATTGTTAGAAGTTCTTCATTTGATGTATTTTTCATAGAAAGAGTTCAGGGTTCAGGGTTCAGAGTTCAGGGTTCATGGCTAGGGAACAAGAAAAGAAGTCACATGCAGTATGCATACCAGGTCCAATACAGGGCCACATTAACCCAATGCTAAAACTTGCTAAAATTCTCCATTCCAAAGGCTTCCTCATCACCTTCGTCAACACTGAGTTCAACCACCAACGCCTCCTCCGATCTCGAGGCTCTAATGCCTTAGGTAGCCTACCTTCATTCCGCTTTGAGACCATTCCTGATGGCCTTCCATGCCCGGAAAACCTTGATGCCACCCAAGAGCTCTCGTCCCTAGCCAAATCTCTCGATGAAACATGTTTTCATCCGTTTAAAAGCGTGGTCAAGAAAGTGAGCGATTCTTATTCGCCAGTGACTTGCATAGTGTCGGATTTCCTTATGTGCTTCACCCTCGATGTCGCTAAGGAATTGGGAATTCCCGAGATTCTTTTGTGGACGAGTGGAGCGGGTTCACTGATTTGTTTCAGTCAATATCCCACTATTTTGGAAAAGGGTTTGATGCCCATAAAAGGTAACGTACTTGCCCTTTACTTTGTTTAGCATTTTAAACCAAAATAGGAATATTTAAGCAATTTTGTGCTCCAACAGATTCTCCAAAATAGAGAAAGTGAGATCAAGGGTTTTTCGTGAGACCCGTAAGACCAATTTATGTTCATTGATTAACTTTATAAGCTAATAATCTAATGGTTTAAAGTTGCACGGTGGCAATTTTGTGATTATTGAGAAGTCACATAGCAATTTTGTGATTATTGAGAAGTCTTATGGCAATTTTGTGATTATGAATGTTCAGATTGTAGATCTAATCAAAGGGTTGAGAATTGGTCTTACGGGTCTCACGAAAAACCCTTGGTCCCACATGATCCGAAGTCTATAACTTGTAACAGGGCCGTCCCTGGGGGAGGGCGACACGGGCGCACGCCCAGGGCCCAAAAATATCAGGGGCCCAAAAATTTTCTTTTAAATACAACAGTAGTCTAAAATAATATAATAAATTTAAAAAAACCCAAAAAATTGTAGTATACAATAAGGGGCAAAAAGAATTAGTAGATAATAAGTGCCCAAAAATATATCAATTAATTACATTGGAGAAGAAAATAAAAAAAAAATTAATTGTCATTCATTATATGTTATTGTTTATTATTGACTCTCTAATTTTTTTTTTATCTCGAAAA